ATAAAAAAGTAATAAAAATAATAAATATATATAATTTTCATTTTATGTTGTTTGCTTCGTAAAATGAACTCTCCTTTAAAATTAATATTAATCAAATAATAAATATTAATTATTAAATGAATGTTTTATTTATTAAAATACTTGTCTATTTTTTAATTTACATTTTTAATACGTACATATAGTGTTCCGGAGGGTAGTACGAACGCGAAGTATACATACAATATAATATATACGCATATTGTATACGTATGTGTATGTGTATATTAGATAAGCATATTACAAAACAAAGCAATAAAAATTTTGTTGGTAGTGAAAGTGTATTAAATGCTGGACATGTGATTAAGTGTGGGCAAGTACCAAGTCGTGATTGTAATATTATAAGTATTTTAGCTTTTTGTTTACAAACTTCACATATTAAAGGAAATCCACATGAAATAACTGGTGGAATATTAAAAAATGGTCGAATAATTGGAATAAGTTGTTCATACAAGGCTGATTTAAGTGGTATTTGTTAATATGTTGTTGCAGTATTGCAATATCATTAACTGTCACTAATTTAATTGATCTTCTACGTATTCTTTCTTCTTGAGAATCTATTTGATCTACAGGACAAGCACATTCTTTGGATGATCCTAAAGGAAGATTTTGACTAGGAATACTTGTTTTTTTAAAAATAAGTTCGAGTTGAATCAATAGCTATACCAATACACAAAAACAATATAGGCATGAGTAAATTTATTGATTTAACAATTTATAATAACCAGAAAAAATAATTGTTGAAAATACTTACGTGAAGGTCAAAAACCTAATTTTTTCATCACGACAAGCTATGTTTGTACAATCAAATACACAGCAATAGACTTTACTTTTATTTTTTCTTGCTGGGAATTCCGTAACAAAAAAAAATTCTTTATAACAACTTCTTAATTTAACAATACTAGTTATTCTCAATTGTACTTTCAATAATAAATAAGCAAGTCATAAAATTAAAAATATATATATTTCCACATAAATATTGTGTAGTTTAAGTCAGCTATCAGCAATATTATTGTTTACTCATAAAACATATGTGAAATTATTTAATAAAATTGTAGTACTTTTTATTTTTAATTAATATTTTCTATATAAACAAATTATAACAATGTTTGAAGTATATTTCATCAAAAATTATAGAAAAATGTTAATACTGAGTATGATAGTTTTTATTTTTAGGATATAATATTCACACTGTTTTACTTTAAATATACGGCATAATGATTTTTACATATCATTAACTGTTCCTTTTAAAAATATGTTTATGCCGTACAGTATTAAATGACCATAAAGTATCCCCTAAAACAGTAGTGTTATTTTTATCTGCCAAAATTATGGTCTGCATTAAAATGAACGGCATGATTTTTTCTTAATTCATTGACCCTTAAACTATTTAGAACAACAATAACATTTAAGAAATTGCTTTATGTTATTAATGTACGATAACTTAAACTTTTACAAAAATTGAAAAAATTTCATTTTTTGTTTTCTCTATAMTTTTTTTTAGAACAGTTTTTTTTATCGRCAATAATACAGAACAATTGTACTTAGCAATATCATGTTAAAAAACAAGTTGCCGTACAGAGTCAAATGATTTTACAGCTGTAAAAATCAAATATACGATTAAATTAAGTTAAAAATTGATATACATTCAAAAAACAACAATTTTTAAACGGCATTATTTTAATTAGTACTTCTGAGTGCTAAAAAATAAACTGAAACTGATGCCGTTGTTTTTCAGATCATCCCCCAGACCCGTGGAAAAAGGTGGATTTTAACCCTGGATTTTTCTYCCTTGTTGMATRATTTTTKCACGGTGTTGCGGAATAATCAATTAGAATAGGTATTTAAATTGTATRAAACAAACGCCGTWMATAATCAAATGATGTAATAGACCCGGGGTTTTGTCARAAAATCAAAAATTTTKTCCGACTTTGTGGCTTACTATTTTTTAACGGCACTACGTGTTTTCTCATTATTTTCGATGGATCTATAGGTGGTAAGAATGCCGTAGAAAATCATTTGATAAAAAAGCACCCGATTATTTTGTGCTTTTTAATTCTCACCTGCACTCAGTTGGACAGCTTACAAGTCACGGCATAGTGCTAAAAATGATTATTTTATGCCCTTCTATTGTCCAATATAGGTTTCCTGCGGGATCATATGACCCATCGAATTTTTAGGTCGGGCCTGTAGTCTATATGTGTTTGCTTACCCATGATAAGGAAATTTTAAATTCACAGAAAGGCTATCATCTACCTGAGTTACAAAACAGGATATATTATATTTACGTAAGTTAGGACGGCGTATCTTTCAATCGACAAGCACTCTACAATTTTTTATTCTATCTATGACTATCGCATTCGCCATTCTATCTTTATTGATACAATTTAAAAAGAGATAGTTTTTGTCAGGTATTCTCATCCTAAGATCATACCGGTTCCCTTTGGTAACAATAAATATATGTGGTAACAATAATATAATAAATAAATCCTACAACTATCTTACCCTTGCTACTGTGCATACGTCTCATTCTCTCTAGGCTTAGTTTTAATAAGGTTTTACTTCTAATTTTATGTTTGTACACTTGTCCCGAATATATATTCACAGCTTTAGCTATATAGCATTATTTGTTTGTTTGTGGGAGGCTTAAAGGTTAAAAGTGTTTTACTTGCTAGGCAATTTCCTGCTGTCGAAATATTAGGTGGTTCAGAAAGTCGTTTCGTGTTTTGCTGACGCAATAATGGCACTACTTGATGCAAACCGACAAACAGTAACACATGAGATCGATGAGAGGTTAAATTTATCAAATTTAACTATTTATGACCACTTGAAAGGTTTAGGTTTAACCTCGAAGCAAAAATTATATTCATTTTTACAAAAGAAAAACGAAACGACTTTCCGAATCACCTAATACATAGGTCAAAGATTTTGTATCAAATTTGGTGTGAAAAATAGTATTAAGTGCTCTATAAACTTCAAATGTTGACACTACTTAACGGTGAGTCTACTTTATTTCAGAAAAATCTTTATATGTGGTACAAAATATTCCGAGAAGGCCGAGAAGACATCAGTCGTCACTGGACGCCTGAGCACGTCAACAACTGATGAGAACGTTAAAAAAGTGATGAAAAATTTTTTGAAAAATCGTTGAATTACCATTAGAGAAGTTTGCGTGAAGCAATACGAAAAAAACGTCTGGAAGATTGGAAAAACCAGTCATGGTTATTGCATAACGATAATGCACCTGCTCATTCATCGTTGCATGTAAAAGAATTTTTGGACAAAATAAAACCACAATCATTCTTTAGCAACCGTATTTACCGGATCTGACCTCCTGCGACTTTCTCTTGTATCCAAACCTCAAGATACCGCTGAAAGGACAGCATTTTGCAACGATTGAGGAAATAAAAACCGCATCACTGGATGAGCTCAAAGCTATACCAAAAAGTGCTTATCAGAAGTGCTTTGACGATTAGAAAAAGCGTTAGCACAAG